TTTTATATTTATACTCCAACGCGATTTGTCACTAAAATGCCCCCTATTAATTTCCTCAACTTTCTTATTTCTTATATACTTTTCTGATCTAGGAAGGACATTGATGGCGCACTTTGCCTCTGCTTCTCTCTCTTCACACCCTACACCCATACCCCAACCCCTAGATCTATTGGAAAACAATATTGATAAACTTATGCTATTAGCGTCTTCCATTCTTATTCATTATGCTTTTTTCCTCTCCTCCTTTCCGTCCTACTTCTCTCCAAAGACTTACTTTATCAACTAAACAACCGCACAAAATCCTAAATTAATTTAGGACTGATTCAAATAAGTTGTGCTAGAGAATTTGGTTCACATATCTTGCATCACTGCTGAAAGGTTGACGAGTTAGGAAAGTTGGTTATTTTACAGATGGGGCCTCACAAGTTTCAATTCAAACCTGTTTGTCCCTAGGTGCAAAACAAATAGGAGTATAGTATAAATAAATTTAGGTAGGGCGTAAACAAGTTGGAATATGGTATGAAAATTTAAAATAATAATTTTACCCTCAAATGGACTAAAATGGAACATATGATGCCCCTGATCGGGGGTACTTTAGAGAGAGTATTGAACTTTGAAATTGTAATGTATAATGATATTCATACATTATAAAAAGGAGGATAATTGTTTAAATTTTCTACTGTACGTTTTGTGTGTAATGGTTAAATTTCAAAATTTCTATCATATACCGTTAATTGTAAAGGTAAATTATCTAATCTATTAGAACAAAACAAAAATAATAAAAAAGAAACTAATCCCACGCCATTATCTAAACAACTAGATAATAAGCACAATACCACTCAGTTCATTACCTTTCATTATCTAAACTTTTTGGACCTTCTATCAGTTTTCCACAATTGCATTATCCATCAAAAAAACTAAAACTAATTCTACATAAATATTGCTTGAATTTTTATTTATTGCAAAAAATAAAATTAAGTTTTGTAAACAAATTTCTTTAGAAACATTTTTTAATGTGCATCAATCACTTGGTTCATGTTAGGAATTAAAGGTGGGCCTTAATGGGCTCACTTAAAACGCGTGCATATTCGGCTTCACAGGTTTGCACCGTAATAATGATATGTATTAAAATAGCGGGCTGAGTATGAGAACCCTTGGCCTCATTCTCTTAAGGTTAGTATGCAATATTCAACAATAAGTTTGAATTTTGACTGATATTATATGATACAATTACTTGTTATTTGATTAGCATATATGTTGGAGGTCTACAATAGTTATGAGAAAGAAATAAAATGGAAAATAAAAAGATTAAGTTAAACTATTGATTTCCATTCGACGCTATGAATCAAAGCCAACACTTTATATGGATTTGAATGAGAAAATTTTAATCATCAGTATTAAATGATTATCCAGTTTAAATCGTTAAAATGGCGGTTTTACGTGGATAATCCATCTAATCCAACTATATCCATTTGATAGGAAAAAAAAAATTCTAACACGAAACAAATTAAGATGTGCTTTAAACAAGAAATATTCGAAGTGATACATTTTACTTCTGTTGTTCGGCTACTACTTCAGGTTTTTCTGAATTGAAGAACGAATGTTACTTTAAATTGTAAGAGGAGCATATCACTACAAATTTGGATTCATTGGTATAGGCTTCAACAAACCATTGTAAGGAAGGCATCTTATCTATACTGGCAAAGACCAAAGGAAAACTAAACCTGTAAAATCAACCATAAAGATCAACTTTACCAAGGCATATAACAATATGAAAATTTCATATTAATTTAAGAACTACATCCGTTTGGATTGAGTGTTTTTTCGCCTGTTTTTGAAAAACTGTTTTTCACATTCCAAATGCTACAGTAAATGTGTATTTCAAAAACACCATATCCAAACAATATATCAAAAACAACTCCAAATATATTTCAATTTGTATATTTTAATTATGTATTTTAATATGTATATTTCAATTATGTATATTATATATATATTATATTAATATAAATATATTTATTTTAATTATGTATAATATTATATATATATTATATCAATTGAAATAAATATTATATATTTATATAAATCCATTTATTTATATATGAATTTATAAATATATTTATGCAATTTTGTTTTATAATATATATTAATATGTATATTTCAATTATGTATATTATATATAAATTATATTAATATTAATGTATATTATATATATTATACATTTCTAATATTATATATTTATACATACATATTATAAATATTTTATTTTATTTAAAATATATTTTTATATATATATAATATATTTACATAAATATTATATGTTATATAAATTATATATAATGTAATATATAATATATTATACATTTATATAAATGTACATTTATACATAATATATAAATATTTATGTATATTTATAATATCCATTTATATTATGTATTATATATAATATAATACATTTATATTAATATACATAATATTAATTTTACATTTATACATAATATTAATACATGTATATATTTATATTAATTATATTAATACATTTCTACATAATATTAATACATATTCATAATATATTAATTTATACATTTATATAATATTAATTTATAATTTATACATTTTTAATAATATACACTTATACATTTAAATATACATTTATATTATGTATTATATATAATATAATACATTTATATTATGTATTATATATAATATAATACATTTATACATTTATATTAATATACATAATATTAATACATATATACATTTATATTAATTATATAAATACATTTCTACATAATATTAATATATATGTATAATATATTAATTTATACATTTATACATTTATACATTTATAATAATATACATTTATAATTTATAATATATTTATAATATTCATTTATAATTTATACATTTATAATAATATACACTTATACATTTATAAATATATTTATATTATGTATTATATATAATATAATACATTTATATATTTTTATATGAATATATAAATATATTTATTTATAAATATCTTTAAATGTATTATAAATGCATAAGTGTATATTTATATAAAAATATAACAATTATAATTTATAATTTATACATTTATACATTTATATAATATTCATTTATAATTTATACATTTATAATAATATACATTTATACATTTGTAAATATAAATGTATTATAAATGCATAAATGTATATTTATATAAAACTATAAAAATTATAATATTCTAAAAATACTCAAAAATATGTTTCAAAAATACCTCTAAAAATAATCCAAAAAAATCTACAGTAAAAGTTTTTCACATAGTTTTTGAAAAACAACCCCAAAAACAGCTAATCCAAACGGAGCACTAGAACTTTAGACAAACTCGAATGTCATTATTTGTCAGCTCTTATTAAACCACAAACAAAGCTGTATCTATCCTATGGCAGAATCCTCACAAGCCTAAAAACATTGTAGGCATTAATGCTAAATTCATACCCCCATGAGGAATGATGCAAATCCCCGTGAGCGCTATATCTTGTCCTATATTCTTGAGGAACCAGAAGGGGGAAGCTGGAAGCCTCCTGATTTGTGAGACACAGGCTTATAAACATGAATATCAGAACCATCCATGATGCAAAGGATGCTGTTGATAGGACCAGTTACTTGAATCAGTGGATCACTTAGATTCGGTACCTCCAGATCGTGGGGCTATACCCAGTGAAGGTATTGAATTCGGGGCACACCAGGATTCGTTAACACTTCTGAATTGCATCAATGATTTCAGAGAAAATCGTAGTAGAATCTTTGTCAATACATCTGTAGGTATATAATTTAAAGTGTTGATCATCTCCAGGCTGTGAATTCGTTGCCTTTTATCTGGCCTAATAAAATCCATGTTGTGACTTTTTAATTCGTTGCCTTGAATCAAGAAGTAGAATTGGAACAAACTGCGATTATATGTATAGGGGCCAGGCTACATGCTTCCGTTTATAATTGGTTTCAATGCGGATTAAGAATCAGTGTTTAACCTGGATTCTATATACATTTATGTACTTACTGTTACAAGACAAGACTCCAAGTTTAAAGATCAGAAACATCATGAATAAATCTCAATGGTTAATGGTTCATGATCTTGGACACTACAATTCTGAGAAATGAGACATAGTGCCTTTTAAGTATTATTTATCCGTGGAAAAGAGACAATGAATAAGAATGATAATATATATTAAGTTAGAAACTACAAACAAAATTAAAAAAAAAAGTACCTTGATGAAATGGATAATTTTCGCAACTTTCAAGAAGAATAACTTACCAATTTCATATTAGTATTACAAGGTTGAAACCTTCTGACTTTTCAAAACCCTCCAAAATATGACTCTTCACTACATCACCCGAAGCAAGCCATGGTATCCAACTTGGCTACTCAAGTTGTTGGCTCAAATTTGGCCAGACGGATTCTGCGGTGTTTTGAGGCTTATAACATTGCATAACCGTTCATGCCATGTTTGATCCAAATTGAGTTGCCAAATGTACAATTGGAGACAATTAGGTGTTTATGGTGAGGAAGAGTGAAAAAACTATACTAATAAGAAATTCCACGAATAAATCTCCAAATGTAATAGAAGAAGTATGATTGTGGTATCGTTGATTAGAGTTACATGTAGTTTATAAGCCTTTTAAAAATTGTTGTAGTTTAATCACGCAAATGGTGTCATAGAGATAATAGATAGTGGTAAACCAAGCAAAGATGTCTTGTCCTGACTGAATATATCTTGCAAAGGTTATGTAATGAATGAGTTTATGCATATGTTCAACTTTCAAAAAAAAAAAAAAAAATTTGTGCAGCTCAATTCAAAATCGCTAGTGATTGACAAGAATGTCCACTTGTACATGGGGGCTATTTTGTCAACTAGGACACACTGCGGTACAAGCAGATTTTTCATTCTTAGGAGGATTTGGAAATGCGAAACACAATTCCTTGATATTTCCTTCCAGAATTAGCCCTATTTCTTCCTTCATCTGGGATATGGTTCAGTAATTGATGCCTCATTTACATAGCTTGGAGCTGAAATTCTTTTGGTATAATTAGATTGATCAACTTCCAGCTCCTCCACCCTGCCCTCCGATCCATGGCGCCGGAAAACTGCCGGACAATGTGGAGTAGGTAAGGTAACAGAACTATTATTGAGCATTTGGACCACGGATGCCATTGTAGGTCTTTTGCTGACTTCTTCTTCAACACATACTAAACCTACTTGGACACATTGAATGACTTCATTTTTGATATAAGAATCTCCAATACTTGAGTCCAAAAGAGCTAAAGGATCGCCGCTTCTCCAATGCTTCCAAGCCTTTTTGAATAATCCCACGTATAAGGAGTTCAGACTTAAAAACTGCAATTTGCTCAAGCATATCTAGTTTCACAAGTGATATCCAGCTTCACATATTAGTTTGTCCTATGAATAATGTCACCTTTCCAATAGGCATTAGTCAATACTCTAAATTTAGTTCCCATCCTTTTCTACGGACTGTCATTTTTAGTCTAGTGTACCTTATTAAAGAAATAAATGGTCTTTATTTGAAGGGTTAATTAGAATTAATCCCCCTAAGATATAAACCAATTCTTACGTTACCTCCTAATGTATTTTTTGTGTCACTTAACCTTTGAGAAACAAAATTACTCCTCTAACAATTTTAGGTTTAATTTTTTTTTTTCTTTTTACTTCTTTCTTTTCTCAATTAATCTTAACCTATAATTCAATTTGAATGAATCTAATTCAAAGTGGGAACATATCAACGGAGAGAAGTATATTTATTAAAGAATATATTAATATTTGATTAATTTTATAAAATTAGTAAAGAAAAGAATCTAATAAAAAAATCCATAAGAGAAAAAAAGACTAAAATAATGTCCAAATAATCGACATGTGAATGTGATTGTCAATTTGTCTAATTATGAGGATATAAATTAAAAATTTTTCCTTTTGATTTCTTAGATTGAAAATGGATGAAATTAATTAGAATGTAATTGATTGGTAATTGAATAATTATGTACACACATATATATAAAGTCATAATAAAACATATATTCAATTACGATGCTATATTTTGGCAAATACAATTTTTTTTTATGGAGGAATCCTTGACTTGCTCAAAAATAAGAATTAAAAAAAATGAAGTTGACAGAAAAAACAAAAGAGAAGAAAATAATCAACATAATAAGAGTGTAGTTTTGTTTGGTAGGGAGGTTAAGTGACACAAAGGTTAGGAGATAAACTAAAAATTAGGTATACGTTAGAGGGATATATCGTTGAGTGCAACATACCAATGACACAACGAGTAGCAAATATGATAAGTCCCAATGGAGATCTAAAGATCTACATGGAACACAAACAGATTTATGTATTTACTTAGGGCAGGTAGCTTAAGCTCATGAGCTACTGTTCCAATTTGGTTTCACGCAAGCAGAAAAGCAATTGCAACTTTAGGTAATCTTTAGAGTAACAAACAAACACAGAAATTGTAATTTAGGCGTGCAAATTTCAGTTTAGGGTCAAATCCTCCACTCCAATTGTTCAAAACCACAGAAAACAAGTAAAACTCAGCAGAGATTTTGTAATCTGTACTTACATAGCTTAGAAGGCCTTCAGAATCTTCAGACACGTAGAAGCTACTGTTCTTCTTGCCTGTGATAATTTCCAAAATTACAACCCCAAAACTGAATACATCTGACTTTACGGAGAACTGGCCACACCTTGTGTATTCGGGAGCCATGTAACCACTACAAGCCACAAAGAAGGTTATAACTGGTATTAAGGCATTACTAATGAGGCAATGAAATGTGTTTTCCATGCAAGATACAAAGATAGTATGGGAGCAAAACTTACAATGTCCCAGCAATTCTATTTGTGTTTCCTACAGATTGATCAACTCCACAAATCTTTGCCATGCCAAAATCTGCTATCTTTGGACTCATATTTCCATCCAACAATATATTGCTTGCTTTGAGATCGCGATGAACAATTCTAAGACGAGAATCCTCGTGCAGATAGAGGAGTCCTCTTGCTATACCTCCAATGATCTTGTAACGTTTTGACCAGTTCAGTGGTCGTTTCTTTTCTGAATCTTTACTATCTTAAACACAATATTCTTTGTTAGAACTGAAAAATACTAAATCAATGGTTTCTCACAATAAAACACCTCTCAAGAGCCAATTTGTTACCTGTCATTTGCTAAGATGGTGGACTTAAGTAACATAGAAGAAGGTCAAACAAAAAACCAAACACTAGAACAAGCATTTCTAGACTAAAACTCACCAAAGAGGAAGTAGTCAAGGCTTCTATTGGGAACAAATTCATATATGAGTATCTTTTCTTCTCCTTCCAAGCAAAATCCCAATAGTCGAACTAGATTTCTGTGTTGAAGCTTTGCGACTACTACAATTTCATTTTTAAATTCTTCTGCACCTTGCCCTGAGCTTCTTGACAGCCTCTTTACTGCTACCTCTTGTCCATTAGCAAGTACACCCTGAAGATATATGCATAGTAAGATGTGATTGAAAATTTGAAAGTTTAGATATTAAAATTCAGAATCACTTAATATTTCATATAGGGACCTTGTATACACGACCAAATCCACCTTCGCCAATTTCGTTAGCCACAGAGAAATTATTTGTGGCAGTTTGAATTGCAGATAAGCTGTACTGTAAGGATTCGGCTGTTGAGATTTCAGCAACTCCATCTACACCAGAAATAAGCAAATACACTTGATTTAATTGTTCAAACACCTCTAAAGTGTCCGGTAATATTTGATTTATTTGTTCAAGCACCTCTAAACGGTCCGATAATATTAAACAATAAACTTTACCAGTTGCTTCCAGCGGCATAGAAACATATCTCTTCCTCGATCTTCTTTTCAGGAAAACCAAAGCCATGATAAATAGCACGATTGAAACCACGACTACTGGGACAGCAATCGGAAAAGCTGCTCTCAAGTTGAGCAAAAACGGATTTTACCATTATGAATAATAATATCCATCTGTCAAACAAGTGTTTTTTTTTTTTTTTTGGCAAAACCCCAAATTGGGGTAGGGATGCCATCCCCTAATTTATTTATATCGAAAAGAAAGGAAAACAAACACAGCAAAATAGAGGGGGGCCAAACCTGACCTCTGTTGAAGTAAAAAGAAAGACAGTTAGGAAAGAAAAAACACATAACAGATCAATCAAACGAAATCATCCACACGAGGGTGCCCCACATTTGTGGGATTGTGAGTGAGCATGGAACTTTGGTTTAACATCTTGACGTGTCTGCATTGTTTTACCTTGTCTTGAGAGCTGCTTCCTCGTTTTCTTTGACATCACTTGGGTAAATTGCTCGTGAACTAGTTCCTGGTCGTGATATTTGTCTTTATCACGTTGTGAATCATCCTTTCCCTCTTCAGTTTTGTTCTCAGTGCATAAACAAGTGAAATATAATACTGAAACGGAAAATCATTGGCATGCATTCAAGAAATTGGAAAAAACTTTATCACTATCTGTTCTCTGCACATCGTGCCATCATAACTATATACGTGTATTCACTTATTCTTAGAAACATGACCCTGGAATTGCACCGTTTCTTCTCTATTTAGTTTATACTGTAAGGCAGTGCAATGAGCACAATCTAGCATAGAATTACCCGCAAACTTGACGGTTATATTATAAAACAAATATGTCCTCCTGATTTATCTATTTTGCTCAGGTGTTTAATTTTTATGTTCCAATTATGATGCGAAGGCTTATTCTAGATTTACCACCCCGCGATGAGTTAGTGCCCAGTGCATCAATACCGGTGTAGTTTGACCATGTGAGAGGAAGCTAGTGACTCCAGTTGCAGGCTTATGCCACTTGATTTTGGTCATTTCTAGTTCCGGCTCAAGAGTTCTCAAATTCCTCACACTAATTACCCTCCCTCCATGTTTAAAAGATTTCATTGTCTTGTCAAATTGAGTGACCAGTGTTTGTTGACTTAACGACATTTTAGCTTATCTTTCACCAGTATTTGTTAATTAACAATATGTGACGGTCTTCATTGACCAGTTTCGATGGAGTTTCTACTCACATTGAGTCCCCTCCCCTTCCCCCCTAGAATAGGCTAGCTTAGGTTATAGAAATTCTATCATGTCGACAAAAAAAAAAAAAAACAACGGAGGAAACTATTCGCCTCGTCCCTAAATTATTCTCATTTTACTTTTTTGACCCCTCAACAATATATTTTGCAAATAAGCCCCTCAAACAAAAAATATCACATTTAAGGGCTTCCATCAAATTTAGTCATTACTGATAACGGAACCAGGGTGAAATTGATAGAACACATGAATTTTTTGATAGCAAAGTATCTAGGGAACCCTTAAACTATTCTTCTTGTCAAGTTTTAGCCCCTAATCCAAATTGTATCTCAGAGTAACCCCTAATTAATTAAAAGTGTATACTTTCAGTCCTTTTGACCATTTTAGTCATAAGTACAACAGGAACCAAAGGGTACTTTTGTCCAACCATTGAATATAACCAGCGAGACCAGAATTAGAAAGATTAAGAAGAAGAATACACTTCATCATTTAGTGTTACAAAAAGGTTGAATCTAATGATGGTACAAAAAGGTTGAATCTAATGATGGTAAAGTGAAGTGTATTCTTCTTCTTAACCCTTCTGATTCTAGTTGCGATGGTTATAATAAGTGGTTGGACAAAAAAGCCCTTTGGTTTCGGCTGCACTTATGACTAAAATGGTCAGAAGGACTAAAAGTATAAACTTATAATAATTCAAGGGCTACTCTAAGATAAAATTTAAATTAGGGTACCAAAACTTGACAATAGAAATAGTATAAGGGCTTTCTATATACTTTTACCCTCATTCTGTCGACACTACCAGCTAAATTTGACAAAAGTCCTTAAACACAACACTTTTTTTGTTGAGGGGCTCATTTACAACAATATATTGTTGAGGGGCCAAACGAGTGAAATGAAAATAGTTTAGGAACCGGGCAGATAGTTTACTTTTAACGACATTTTAACTTATTAGCTTTGAAACATTTTAGTCATTTGGTCCTCGTTATTACTAGGGTTGCAAATGAATCAAATCAAACTTCTAGGCTATCATTCTATCAAGTTTTTAGCTCACACTTGAACTTGACTTAGAATCCTATACGAACATAAAATTTAAGGTCAAGTTCAATTCGATATGATATTCGCTCAAGTTCGATTCGAAAACTAAAAATTAATTTTAAAATTTAAAATTTATATATTATATTACCACTGATTCATATAAAGAATCTATATAATAAAATACTAAATGTATATATTTTTTTAAATGAAAGGTGTCAAAAATAATTCGAACCTTAACTAGCCTAATGTGGGCAAATTTGAATTCGATTTCGACACCTTATTCGAATCTTACTTCTTGTTTAAATTCAAGTTCAAACTTGAGATCGTCAAAATTTGAACTCAAATCTTGCCCCTAATGAATCAAATTCAAACTATTCATTAACGGTCAAATTCATTCATAGTCCTACGACCCCGAACAACAGAGAGAATTTTAAACTTTTTCCTACTTCTTTCATGAATTTCTCCAAGCCATATGATTCTACGTGAATTACCTTTACCAAATGTTACATTTTAACCTAAATGTTATTACCAAAACTGCTTACATAACTTTAACAGATATATGCCTAAATTGAATCGTGTGGTAGTTTTCTCTGTCTTTTGTCTTAGACTCGAAATTTGTGTTACAAACTATTTAAACCAAATATGAACACTATTTACTGTTGATTAAAGTTTCAAGTCTGAATCAATCTTGATTCGATTAGCAAAAAATTCAAAAGATGTTTACACAAAAAATGTATGCTATTCGAGCTTGACACAAGCTCATTTGAGTCTTGCCAAATAAATAAACAAGCCAAACATAAAATTTATTTTAAAAGTGGAAGAGGGTTGGGTTGGATGATAAGGTGGGAGGAATTATGAGTAGAAGGTTTTGGATTCAAAACCTCCCACTTACTCAAAAAAAAAATCAATTTTAAAATCATTAAAATAAGCAAAACAAACTTATACGATGACGATTAGGTTCAATCGTGTGTACCTCTTATGTCTTTGAGTTTGGATAGAGGAGCAATTTTTGTCATCCGATCTGATGATTGTTGTTATTCTATAAACAGAGTTGATCTTCTTGGGAGGAATTGAAAAATTTTTATTACTTGCTGTGTACAAATTTGTGTTTTGGGGTTTAGTTTCGAACTTTTTGAATTAAACAACATAAACTTTAATGTAAATGAAACAGCTCATAGTTGCAATAGTCAAAACTAAACCTTTTCTGTTGTAATTTATCCAATGGTCTCAAATTATGTTTTGCAGCGTCCAATAATACTATAACCATGCCCCCTCCCCCTTTCAACGTAAAGGGTAAAGAAAAGTTCAATCGACTTATTCTTTAATTTTAGTTTGAATGGTTTGATCACTTCCTGGAATTTTTATAATTAGCCCTTATTGTCAGACATAGGATAATATCTAAAATTGAATTTGAAAGTCTAAATTTTTCATAAATGTCACATTTAACTACGGTAGTGCATACATTATCAATATATAAAATTAACTCTTATATTTAACTTCAAGTTCAAATTCGTTTGTAAATGTGTATCCACAAATTCTGATATAAGTATAAACTTGCCCCATAACTTGGATTAGGCTACTCTTCATTGCATTTAGAGAGAATTTATTTACATTACATCCCAATAAAATTAATCTAATTTTTTTAAGATATCAATGCCATTCAAAATATGTTTCATCATTCATATTAGTTATAGATAAAATTTCATAAGAAATTAACTAAGTATTGCCATTTGACTAATTACACAACATTTACTATAATTTTGATATATTTTTCCATCATTTAAATATTTCATGTAAATTGAATACCAAAGTATCCTCTAAAGAATACCTTTTTTTAGTATATTAATCTAGAGATCGAAAGAAAAAAAAAAACAATGACACACTCAGAAGATTTTATTAAATTTTAATACTCCCTCCATTCCGAAAATTTTGTCACTTTTCGGGACTCCAACTTATTATCAACAGTGTCTAACTTTTGAAGAATTCTTCTATACTCTCCATTTTGCCCTTCGTTTGAGCACAAAAAGGTGGATAATGGATGGACAAAACATGACAACGGAGTCCACACATTTATTGGTTTACTTTTGAAGAATTCTTCTATACTTTCCATTTTGCCCTTCGTTTGAGCACAAAAAGGTGGATAATGGATGGACAAAACATGACAGCGGAGTCCACACATTTATTGGTTTACATGACTTATTTTAGTTAGAATTAGAGCGTGAAGACATGGAGGTAATCATTTCAAAATAGTTGGTGCATGCATATCAATCAACTGAACAACAAAGTTGCAAATCTTGGTGGAAGACTTTCTAGGTACTTTTTAGTCAGGTGAAATAGGGGTAAGCATTGGAAATTATTGATAAAGTTCACAACCATTTTTGGCAAGTGACAAACATTTTGGGACAGACCAAAATGGAAAGCATAACACTTTCAATAAGACGGATAGAGTAATACGTGCGCGCACACACACACACACACACATATATATACATATTAGTGCGTATGTATGTATAAACACACACTAGCATGTCTAGATACATGTTATATATATATATATATATATAATTTAATGTTTAAATTTGAATTCAGATTATATGGTATTTATCCAATCCCGTTAGTGCACACATTGACAGTGTAGAAAAGACTAATACTATATATGTGTATATGTGTTATGTGTGTTTGGAAAGATCAACGGAAAGAAATATAACAGAGAGGTCTAACCCCACAAACCTAAGCCCAACCAGAGACAGCCACTCCCATGTTCTGTCATTTTTGGAAACTAGCTCTTGCCTATATTATTGTTTGCAATCACATGATTCGAAGGTGTAACTTTGGAGCACCAATTAATGTGGACACAGTTAAAACGTTAGCACTATGGGCTCTCTTCCGCTTATACTGCGAACTCAAAAATGTGAGATGTGACGGTAAAATGGATAAGGGATAGAGAGATTATTATCTTTTTGGATCTAGAGCCCCACAAGTTAAATTTTATCCAAATTAAATTAGTTGATTAATTCTTATAATTTTGGTATAAATTCATACAATTTGAGTATAAATTTGAATTTGTAACTCATATAATTAAATTACTATACCAAATATAATAAGAATTATATCAGGATTATACGATTTTTCATCAAATATAATAAGAATTATATGAACCTATTTAAACCGGATAAAAGTCAACTTCTGAGTAAGACTTGAAATTAAGAGCTCAAAGCCCGGTTGTGTTGATGTTTCGATTGGATTAAAGTATTAGCAACAAGTGGTTTCGTTCTGTACATTTTTTTTTCCATTTACGCTCACACAATTTAATGAAAACTATATATATATATATATATATATATGCATGCTAGGCGAGTTTTTAACGCAAAAAGATGCCTTAGCAAGGCTCCAGAATTTACCTTTACTGGAATTAGGCGCTGGCGCAGAATTAGGAGGACCAACAGGAACGTACAGGTTTGGCATAGGCGGTGGTGCAGAGGATACAGTATTGTAGAAGCGGTTGAGCTCATACCTAACGCTACAGCTTGGAAAGAGTAATCTTCCTCCTATTGGAATACCACCAAAGAATCCATATGAGGGAAGTTCCTCTATAGCTTTTCTGAGGCAACTTTTGCAGTCATAAGCGGATAGATCTGGTGTGCACTCTGCAAGAGTATACAAATTCCGAGCTTTATCCGCAGCTTGATCCGCACTCTGTAAAGAAATATTGCCTTCTTGAACAGCAAACTTTTTGCCCCAGGTGTCATCTGCAGCCTGATTTGCAGCTTGATTCAACAAATTTCCCAAGTCCATTCCGAACTGGTATGATACTGATCCGGTGATATTCTGTGGATTGTACAAAGAATAACCAGGTGTGAAAGCAGCCTTGGAGAAAATTGTCTGGTCGGAAAAGCGTAAGAAGCACTGTTCATACCAAACAATAGCAACCTTTTGATACGGGCACACCTGAAGTGCTTGTATGCTGGCATTTCGTACGCATACTTGGCAAACATCAGTGTTGACATCTCCTCGGCAGAGAAAGAGGCCATAGACAGTGTTTGAAGGGTCGTTGCCAGCACTGAAATTATAGAAACCATTTATGTCTGTTCGAGATGCATTCGAATATAGAATGTCAAGCGTCAAATTCAGATTGGTTCCGTAAATGCTGCCGGTAGTACTGTTAGGATCGTAGGTAGCGACTAGACAGCTATTCCCGAGAAAATTCAAGCCCACGGGGATAGTGAGTGTGGTATGGAAGCTAAGCAAACAAAGCATGTAATATTTGAAGTGGAACAACAAATTTCTGGAGATCATGTCAAAGGCAGGCACCAAAAGAATAAAAGGCTAAAAATCCACAAATTACAGTTGTAAAATAGGAGCCAAAGTTTTGGTTGAGGGATCATGAAAGTTGTACAGGTCACGAAAACGAGTCGTCCATAAGATGACTTTATTTTAGCAAGTCGGTCAACCAAGTAGCCTGGACGTGAACCATTAGCTGAATGGTCTCCAACCAAAATTCAATACGTCAGTAATAGATTTTTACCGTTTGACAAAAAAAAATAATAATGGATTTTGACGGGATTGCAAATTTCAGGATGCTAACAAATATCAAACAGCGTCATCGTGGAGGATAATTGTAATTTGACTAATGCTCTATTGAGTAAAATGGACCCAAATTGAATCTCTACCTACTAGTTCAATACTTTTAAGAAAAAGTTCTCTATATATAGTTAAAAGGATAAATTATACACATAATCCCCTATAGATTCATTGATTGTCACATGACAACCCTAATATTTTCAATATTCATATAAACCCTCTATGGTTTCATATAAAATAGAAATTTTACAAAAAAATATCTTATGTTACACTATTAGTTGAACTCCTATTATTGCCCTTACTTAAATATTAAATCGAACAACAATTAGACCACCTTGTATAAAGTTATAGAAGAATTATGTGGATAAATACAAAATCTATAGAGGGTTAAAGTGGATATTTATAAATTGTAGGAGCATTAAGTGGATATTATTAATTCACCACATGCATTTTTGGAGCACATCTAGTTCAATCACTGTAACCATTGATGTTTTCCGTCTATTTTTCATATTACATGAAACAATAGGGGTTTATGCGGATATTTTGAAATGTAAAGGAGATCATATATTAATATAAAAATCCAAGGTGATTACATGTAATTTACCATAAAATCCCGTAAAGTCTGTCGCATTTTAATTGGATTGAAACTTTCCAATAATTTTTGTTGTCAAAAATGCCAATAAACTGTCCAACTACTTGTTTTGCAGTACATACGTGTTCACCATTTTGTCAAACTGATTTACATTTCTTAATCTTCTTTTGATTAATTCAAAGGAACCCTCAAGGAAAGCAACGTCTACCCATTTATTAATGACCAATTCCGCGTTGCTTTGTTTTAAAAAATTCATCAAGTTTAAGGGCCACTTTTTGAACATAGTTACAAGGGTGCCTGGAGCATCAGTAAGAAGCGACCATTATGATGGTTGCTGATCTTTGTTTTTGCAAGAAACCGGTCACAATAGAGCTACTCCTGTAAATCCTCGTTTATGTTATCAGTTTTTGTGAACCAGGGTTTTTCGAGAATGAAAAGGAACTAATATTCTCTTGCTCCATATTCTAACTTAAGCGATGACCAACCTAAAAATCCCCACTACACTACTAAGTAGTAGGCCATAATATATGCTTTCCTGCTGTGGATGAGAGAGAGAGAGAGGATTCTTTGTTATTGCTTTGCATTAGAATCTTTAAGATTCTAAAATATTGTTTTGCTGAAGATTCGGTTTCAATGATGAAGGTTTGACATTTTCATTGGAGAACCTAGTAAATTACTTGTATCCACGTAGCTACAATAAAGTGACTCTTTTTTCTTTTCTTATTTCATATGTCAGCACAAGAAGAGTGGACCTTTTCAAACCGATATAGTAATATTTCTTTCAAATTTCGAATTGAGGTTTAGTGATAATTAAAGAATTTGATAGTACCTTTTATCCAATTTACTAAGTGCACGTAATAGAAGGACCTAACTTAAAATTGAAATTTAAGAAAAAGTCAATTAAAATTTCAAGCATAACGAAAGTCAAAATATTGTATCGAGTGGAAAATCAGGCTTAAAATTGAAACTCATATCCAGCTCGATATTGATTTCGACCCCGAGTTGGAGCATGTTAAAAATAAGGCTCAGCCCGGTTCGATTACACTTCGGCCCACACCAAGCACCGTCGCTAATATGAATATTTGGAATTCATTCGAGCTCTAAACAGCAACCTATCCTTTCTTGACATGCGTCACAATAAACCATCAATAGATACCATTAGGGAACGGCTTCAAGCCCTTTGCTCTATTTAACCTGAGAAATTAAGTGGACTTTGTTTGTATGTACATCAATGGTCCCTCTTAACTAATTATAAATAGTTCTTTAAAAAACTCATGAAGTAGCACATTGCATTTGAAATCAAGATGGGGTGGAGCAGTGGCGGTGCCAGGAATTTGTTATAGGGGGAGACGGGGGAAACTAAGGTTGAGTATAACTTTATTACAAAAAGGAATAAATCAAGATTAAATGAGCAAAAAAAATTCAAAACGTTGAAATAAATTTTAGTGGTTATATTTTGATTGACTTTTAGCTCTAGGAATTTTTTTCTTAGTTGAATTTCAGAAGAGTCGTAATATTTGATTAATGTTGACCATTTGAAGTACCCATAAAAATGTGGACATTCTTAGATGTAGAAATTTCAAAGTTGGGGGAAGGGATGAATTAGGTGGTATAGAGGAGCTTACACTAACAAAATCCATAAAAAGTTTAAAAAAAAATAAAAAGCTTCAAAGCTTCCAGGTTCAACACTTGTTTCAAGTGTCCTTTTATTCAATTTTCTTGCTCCCGATAGTCACAAAATACTCAAATCTCAATAAGTTACTAATTAACCTGAAAAATCACTAGTATAATTAAGTGCAAGCTTTATGTTTTAGAAGTTCTAAAGCTTTTGTTTTTTCGTCTAAAGCAACCACAAATGTTTCATATTGATTTTCAAAAGTTTATTCTATTGACAAGTTTTTTTTTATATTATCAATAACTATAACCTTGTCTAAAACCATTCTTTTAGTTCTCCTAATCATTGCAGCAGAACTAGTTAAATTCACTATATTCATTAACACAAAACAGAAACATTGAAGTTTATCTAATTGAAAAATAGAAGAAGTAATTATCAATTTTATTTAATCTAAAATGACAGTTTATCGGACTAATGAGGAAAGGATAACTAAATTTTAAACCAACAGAGGCAAGAAAATTATTGTTATTATAAATGTAATCTAATGACACCCAAGATCCAAATTCATTTAATTTATATATATTAAACGCACAAAATAAAAGTTTCATCTTTGAATGAATATATAAAGAAAGTTGTAACCAAGAAAATCTAAAAGTCAATTTTTGTCTTCCATCAAAACGAAACATAGAAAAACAAAAGATTTGCCCAATAGCTAAACTGAATGCTGGAGGCTTGGGTAGATGAATTAATGAAACATTGCAAATAAAATTATCTTAGGACAAAATTTTATATAGAAATTTACAAGACGAAAATCAAGAAGTTACACAGGATAGGATATGGAATTTGCATGGTTATCCTTTTAAGGGAAAAAGCATAATTAATTTAAAACAAAAGGTCAATAGGTAACGGTGGGATGGTGGGTTTTTCAATTGTTTTGACTTGGGCTTTCTGTTATAGGATTGGGTAACTAAATTGGTATTTGGGCATTCTTATTTTTTATGGAAGTAGTTGACATGGCGGAATTTGGTTTTGGACGGGAATCAGAGTTGGACTTTTTTTTTATTTATTTATTAGTACGAGACATATGCATGAATGTTAGGGGTGGAGACTTCTTCTTTTTTTTTAAAACTTTAAGAATAATTTGTGAGTAAAATTAAATAAAAAAGAATAATTTATAATTGAAAAAAAAAGGCATATGCTTTGTGGTTCTGAGGAGGGTTCAATTCACAGTGTTAGTACCGAGAAGGAAGCATTGCTTGTTGGAGTCAAGACCTCTACTACGCCATTCTATTTCAGATGATTGTGCCATGGTTTCTAATTTAAATTTGGATCAAAGTATTATTTCAACTGATGTCAAAAGGCCACTTATTAATGAACCTATATTTCATCCAATCTATCATATATAAACATACACTAAAAATCATTATTTGTTAGATAAACTAATTTTAAATAAGGGCAAAAAACTGCGGTGGTCCTTAAATTTTTAACTTTACACATTTTTAGCCCTCCAACTAATAAGTGCATAAATATAATCCTCCAATTAATAAAAATGTGCAGTTATAGTCCTTCCGTCCAATTTGACTGTTTAGATGGATGGACAACATATAATGGATTGCTCACATGACATTTATTTTTGGAATAATTACAAAACCTCCCTAGAGGTTTCTAACAATTTCATTGAGCTCCCTTGAGATTTGGAAAATTACACCTACTTCCCTTGATTTGATAGTTTTAGTAACAAAACCTTAAAATAATATTGACTTGGTCAAATTTTTAAATGAATAACCAAAAATACCCTTGTGTAATGAGTTTTAATTTACTTTCCTATACAATTATAAGATTATCTAGTATAATTATAAGAAAAATGTGCCAAATTTTTCATGTCCATACCTATTATTTGATAAACAACTATAATAATATTTTTATGACTATGATAGGATACTTTTGATGGTATTTTATTATGGATTTATAAGATAAAAAAGAAAATGTTGAAATAATTTATTTAGAATTTATGAATTTTTTGAATAGTTGGATTATCATAATTTAATAGTGATTTTGGACCATTTTCTTTTGATTTATTGTTAATTTTAATACCAAAAAATAGAAAACAAAGATTAGCAAAAATATTGTATTGTATATAAAGTTAACTCATCAAAAAAAAATTACTTGTCCGACATTTGGTTACAATAGAAACTAGAGGTAATAGTGATAGTTCTACCACTTTATTGGCAAAAAATTTTTTTAAAAAAGGAAGAAGAAGGAAAAGAATGAAAAATAATTTTAAAATTCATTCAAAGTATAAACATACCAAACAAGGAAATTTCATTAAAATATTTAAGGGTAGTATTGTCATTTTAAATGATAAGGAGGTATGTATAATTTTTAAAATCTCAAGGGAGCTAAATGAAATTGTTAAAAACCTCAAGGGAGGTTTCTGAAATTATCCCTTTATTTTTTGTATCATTTTTGTATCATCCTGTCCATCTTAACGGCTAAATTAGACGGAAGGATTACAACTACATATTTTTATTAATTGAATGACTACATTTACGCACTTATTAGTTGGAGGACTAAAAGTGCACAAAGTTGAAAGTTTAAGGACCACCGCGGTTTTTTGCCCAAAATAAAGACCCTAGAACACTTGCTCTATGACAAGGAAGACAAAAAACAGGGGAAATATTTATTATTTTTGTTTCATTTATCTTTACATCAAGATTTTTTTTATTTGATGCTTAAAGCACCAAATAAGCATATAGAAAAAGGAAATTGGCCCACCATTAAACCTTTAAAATTACCACCCTGAAATACAGCACATTAGCAAACAAATTACCCTTTTGAAAAAAAAAAAAAAAGAGACCCACTCCTTATGGTGCTTTAAGGGCACAAAATATAAACCCAAAAGATAAGACAACATTTAAATCAGTAACTAATCTAATCTAATTTTATTAGATGATGTCTAATTTGATACGGATAAAACATTTACATATCTTAACTAAGGGTGCACATCAGGATCATCATGATTTGAGACTTTTTAGGCACCCAATTATGTCTTGCGACCTAAACTTCCTTTTAAGTGTTCTACTGTTACACTAATACACCATCACCTTTGATATCTGGACACCAATTTGAGTTAAAAAGTTTTAAAAAAATGATGAAATACAGAGTCCTCCTTAAAGTGCCAATAGTTTTTCCTGTCAATCACAGCATCACAGATCACAATTCCCTGGCTTTTCCTTACCCAGAAAAAGAAAGAATGAAATGAAGGAAAGAAAAATCCAAGATGAAGAATAAGAAATATTTTGTTGATCTGCCATTATCTCTCATACACTTGCTAAGATATTCACTTGTATAATTTTGGGTTAATAATTTTGTATTTTTTAATATCAATTTCCATACTCTAAATTTCATCTATGCATTTGGGGATTTCATAGAATTTTATATACCTTTAAATTCTCAAGATTTCTAGGTTATTTGTGATTATTTATGTAGCAGAATAATTCACAGATGTAGTTATTCACTTGAAAAAGTTCATATGCTAAATGTGAAGATTGTATAAATGCATCAACTATCCTTTTTCTTTTTTTGCGTAATCATTGATAGTTGGGATAGCCATCAGATTTACACAATTATATGAATGGTTTTTTCTTTGCTTGAAGAAAAGGGAAAAAGATTGGCTAAGTTACATTAAATGAATAAGGAAAAGAATAAAGAAAAGAGAAAATTAAATGACAAAATTGGGTAAATACTTTGAACCAAAAAAAAAAAAAAGAAGGAATAACAAATACGAAGATTGTATGAATGCAAGTACAATGTTATTACAATAGAATACTTAAGAAAGCTTAGGTGATAATAAATCATTGAATGCTGAAAAAGTTCCAAATCAGGATGAATCTGATATAATTTAAACTCTTTTTAACTAATAACACACTCCAAGAATTGTGAACCAAGACAGCCTTTATATTGGTTTTGTTACCAAACGTATACAATGATATAATTGATAGACTCAGTTTGGAAGCCAACTTTGCTATGTACAAATGGTAAAAGTTCAAGACATACTGTTTGTTCGATCAGCTGGGGATTAATGTTCATAAATAAAATTGCTCTTCTATTTTTAAAAAATATCTAAAGAGCGACAACAACTTGCATTTTCTTTCAAGCACATCCTTATACCCCTAAGGTGGAAGAAGTCAATTAGTGTGAAGAAGCAAACATTGAAGCGATCCCCTAATTTCCAACAATAGTGGGCAAATTTAGATACCTTCCTGGTTAATGAATCATGCTTCAAAATCTACAACATAATGCTGATGATGAACTTGATATTTTCTTCCAGAATTGGCCTATTTCTTCCTTCATCTGGGATATGGTTCAGTAATTGATGCATCATTGACAGAGCTTGGAGCTGAAATTCTTTGAGTGTTGGATTGATCAACTTCCAGCTCGTCTACCCTGCTCTCCGATCCATTGCTCCGGAAAACTGCCGGACGATGTGGAGTTGGTAGGGGAACAGAACTAGGATTGAGCATGGAGACCACAGAAGCCATTGTTGGTCTTTTACTGGCATCTTCTTCAACACATAGTAAGCCAACTTGGATGCATTGAATGACTTCATTTCTGGCGTAAGAATCTCCAATGCTTGAATCCAAAAGAGCTAAAGTTTGGCCGCGTCTCCAATGGTTCCAAGCCTTTTCGAAATAATCCCACGTATAAGGAGTTCAGACTTAAAAACTTCAATTAGCTTAAATAGATATACAGGTAATGTCAATATTCACAATAGGCAATTGTCAATACTCTCTATTTCAAGTTTAATCATATAAAAAGATTGATTAATCTTTCTTACATTGATAGTGTATACACTGTTGTCAACGTTGGATGAACAACAATTATACAAAATTTGAATTTCAAATTTAACTTTTACATATATGTTATGAATCTAACGGTGATAGTATATATACTGTCTAATATATGAGATTTATTCATAAAAGATTTCAAATCGCAACCTTTTTTCCCATCATTGTAGTTAAGTATAACCTGAGAAAGAAGTACACTGGTTTTTACTGAAATTTACAAGTACTCTACTTTGAGTGTGTGACAACGTACAAAACGAGAGAAGGAATAGCAATTATGACAAGTCTTGCATCCGACATCTAAAAATTTCCATAAGAAGCACATAAACAGAAATACGTATTTATTTAGGGCAGGTAGTTCATAAATTATCGTGGCATTTTGGTCTGGTTCACACAAAAAATGGTATTGCAAGTTTAGGTGAATTTAATAATGAAAAAAAAAAGAAAAGATAAAAGGTTGAAAATTAGGAGTGCCAATATCAAATCCTCCTCCCGAGTTCTGAATTAATAGTTATTGGATCTTAAGGAAGCAAAAAAGAATTAAAACATGATGTTTATGAATGAGAAATAGCAATATAACAAAAAGTGGCACAGAGAGTGGCACAGGATGTGAGACAGAAGATCCGTTGCGAAAACTACGGATGACTTTAGTGAGAACTGACCCCACCTTGTGTATTCAGGAGCCATATAACCACTACAAGCCACAACGATTGTTATAATCAGTACAAAGATAATCCGAATGATGCAATCAAATGGAGGTGTACATAATTTTCCATGAAAGATTCAAAGTGATATTATGTGAGAAAAGATAGTATGGGAGCAAAACTTACACTGTCCCAGCAATTCTATACGTGTTTCCTTCATATTGATCAACTCCACAAATCTTTGCCATGCCAAAATCTGCTATCTTTGGGCTCATATTTCCATCCAATAATATATTACTTGCTTTGAGATCGCGATGAACAATTCTTAGACGAGAATCCTCATGCAGGTAAAGAAGTCCTTTTGCTATACCTCCAATGATATTGTAACGTCTTGATCAGTTCAATGATCGTTTATTTTCTGGATCTACACAAATTTAAACACAATATATTGTGCTAGCATTGAGAATTATTAAATCAATAACTCCAGAAAGCATAATCAAATAGGTAAAATAGAACAAGATCACATGGAACAACAAAAAATTACTATAAGTATGTCTAGATTGAACCCACCAAAGAGAAAGTAGTCAAGGCTTTTGTTAGGAACAAATTCATAGATGAGTATCTTTTCTTCTCCTTCCAGGCAAAATCCCAATAGCCGAACTAGATTTCTGTGTTGAAGCTTTGCAACTACTAACAAAATCCATAAAAAGTTTTAAAAAAAAATAAAAAGCTTCAAAGCTTCCAGGTTCAACACTTGTTTCAAGTGTCCTTTTATTCAATTTTCTTGCTCCCGATAGTCACAAAATACTCAAATCTCAATAAGTTACTAATCAACCTGAAAAATCACTAGTATAATTAAGTGCAAGCTTTATGTTTTAGAAGTTCTAAAGCTTTTGCTTTTTCATCTAAAGCAACCGCAGATGTTTCATAATGATTTTCAAAAGTTTATTCTATTGACAAGTTTTTTTTTTATATTATCAATAACTATAACCTTGTCTAAAACCATTCTTTTAGTTCTCCTAATCATTGCAGCAGAACTAGTTAAATTCACTATATTCATTAACACAAAACAGAAACATTGAAGTTTATCTAATTGAAAAATAGAAGAAGTAACTATCAATTTTATTTAATCTAAAATGACAATTTATCGGACTAATGAGGAAAGGATAACTAAATTTTAAACCAACAGAGGCAAGAAAATTATTGTTATTATAAATGTAATCTAATGACACCCAAGATCCAAATTCATTAATTAAACGCACAAAATAAAAGTTTCATCTTTGAATGAATATATAAAGAAAGTTGTAACCAAGAAAATCTAAAAGTCAATTTTTGTCTTCCATCAAAACGAAACATAGAAAAACAAAAGATTTGCCCAATAGCTAAACTGAATGCTGGAGGCTTGGGTAGATGAATTAATGAAACATTGCAAATAAAATTATCTTAGGACAAAATTTTATATAGAAATTTACAAGACGAAAATCAAGAGGTTACACAGGATAGGATATGGAATTTGCTTGGTTATCCTTTTAAGGGAAAAAGCATAATTAATTTAAAACAAAAGGTCAATAGGTAACGGTGGGATGGTGGGTTTTTCAATTGTTTGGACTTGGGCTTTCTGTTATAGGATTGGATAACTAAATTGGTATTTGGGCATTCTTATTTTTTATGGAAGTAGTTGACATGGCGGAATTTGGTTTTGGACGGGAATCAGAGTTGGACTTTTTTTTATTTATTTATTAGTACGAGACATATGCATGAATGTTAGGGGTGGAGACTTCTTCTTTTTTTTTAAAACTTTAAGAATAATTTGTGAGTAAAATTAAATAAAAAAGAATAATTTATAATTGAAAAAAAAAGGCATATGCTTTGTGGTTCTGAGGAGGGTTCAATTCACAGTGTTAGTACCGAGAAGGAAGCATTGCTTGTTGGAGTCAAGACCTCTACTACGCCATTCTATTTCAGATGATTGTGCCATGGTTTCTAATTTAAATTTGGATCAAAGTATTATTTCAACTGATGTCAAAAGGCCACTTATTAATGAACCTATATTTCATCCAATCTATCATATATAAACATACACTAAAATCATTATTTGTTAGATAGACTAATTTTAAATAAGGGCAAAAAACTGCGGTGGTCCTTAAATTTTTAACTTTACGCATTTTTAGCCCTCCAACTAATAAGTGCATAAATGTAATCCTCCAATTAATAAAAATGTGCAGTTATAGTCCTTCCGTCCAATTTGGCTGTTAAGATGGATGGAAAACATATAATGGATTGCTCACATGACATTTATTTTTGGAATAATTACAAAAACCTCCCTAGAGGTTTCTAACAATTTCATTGAGCTCCCTTGAGATTTGGAAAATTACACCTACTTCCCTTGATTTGATAGTTTTAGTAACAAAACCTTAAAATAATATTGACTTGGTCAAATTTTTAAATGAATAACCAAAAATACCCTTGTGTAATGAGTTTTAATTTACTTTCCTATACAATTATAAGATTATCTAGTATAATTATAAGAAAAATGTGCCAAATTTTTCATGTCCATACCTATTATTTGATAAACAACTATAATAATATTTTTATGACTATGATAGGATACTTTTGATGGTATTTTATTATGGATTTATAAGATAAAAAAGAAAATGTTGAAATAATTTATTTAGAATTTATGAATTTTTTGAATAGTTGGATTATCATAATTTAATAGTGATTTTGGACCATTTTCTTTTGATTTATTGTTAATTTTAATACCAAAAAATAGAAAACAAAGATTAGCAAAAATATTGTATTGTATATAAAGTTAACTCATCAAAAAAAAATTACTTGTCCGACATTTGGTTACAATAGAAACTAGAGGTAATAGTGATAGTTCTACCACTTTATTGGCAAAAAATTTTTTTAAAAAAGGAAGAAGAAGGAAAAGAATGAAAAATAATTTTAAAATTCATTCAAAGTATAAACATACCAAACAAGGAAATTTCATTAAAATATTTAAGGGTAGTATTGTCATTTTAAATGATAAGGAGGTATGTATAATTTTTAAAATCTCAAGGGAGCTAAATGAAATTGTTAAAAACCTCAAGGGAGGTTTCTGAAATTATCCCTTTATTTTTTGTATCATTTTTGTATCATCCTGTCCATCTTAACGGCTAAATTAGACGGAAGGATTACAACTACATATTTTTATTAATTGAATGACTACATTTACGCACTTATTAGTTGGAGGACTAAAAGTGCACAAAGTTGAAAGTTTAAGGACCACCGCGGTTTTTTGCCCAAAATAAAGACCCTAGAACACTTGCTCTATGACAAGGAAGACAAAAAACAGGGGAAATATTTATTATTTTTGTTTCATTTATCTTTACATCAAGATTTTTTTTATTTGATGCTTAAAGCACCAAATAAGCATATAGAAAAAGGAAATTGGCCCACCATTAAACCTTTAAAATTACCACCCTGAAATACAGCACATTAGCAAACAAATTACCCTTTTGAAAAAAAAAAAAAAAGAGACCCACTCCTTATGGTGCTTTAAGGGCACAAAATATAAACCCAAAAGATAAGACAACATTTAAATCAGTAACTAATCTAATCTAATTTTATTAGATGATGTCTAATTTGATACGGATAAAACATTTACATATCTTAACTAAGGGTGCACATCAGGATCATCATGATTTGAGACTTTTTAGGCACCCAATTATGTCTTGCGACCTAAACTTCCTTTTAAGTGTTCTACTGTTACACTAATACACCATCACCTTTGATATCTGGACACCAATTTGAGTTAAAAAGTTTTAAAAAAATGATGAAATACAGAGTCCTCCTTAAAGTGCCAATAGTTTTTCCTGTCAATCACAGCATCACAGATCACAATTCCCTGGCTTTTCCTTACCCAGAAAAAGAAAGAATGAAATGAAGGAAAGAAAAATCCAAGATGAAGAATAAGAAATATTTTGTTGATCTGCCATTATCTCTCATACACTTGCTAAGATATTCACTTGTATAATTTTGGGTTAATAATTTTGTATTTTTTAATATCAATTTCCATACTCTAAATTTCATCTATGCATTTGGGGATTTCATAGAATTTTATATACCTTTAAATTCTCAAGATTTCTAGGTTATTTGTGATTATTTATGTAGCAGAATAATTCACAGATGTAGTTATTCACTTGAAAA